GATGTGGCTTGCATAAATTTGGGGTATCAGTTAAAAGAAAACAGTGCGCAAAAATAAATTTAAATCTGCATATGTATCAGAGATAGCCATATTCCATACCACAATACGTAATGCGTGAACTCGATGAGATTTCATCGGCTAAGTATCATTCTCTGTAATGTTTTGTATCATTAGGAACACCAACATTGTAAACAATTATGACCAGGGTTTTCTAACCGTTTCCCTAGGTCAGAGTAATAAAGATTGAAAATATATATACTTTTAAGAGTTTTATTATGTCAGCCATAGTTTAATCCCAAAAATGAAAATAAACTGAAATTATACATTAAAAATACATTCATAAATTAACTATATTTATAACACTCATCGACTCTCTCCTGGCTAAAATATTACTTATCTATCTATTCGGCTCTGTTCCGTCTATTTTTTGCCTTCTTCTGACACTTCCATTCGTTCTTATTCAGTGTAGTAAGCATAGTTTTCAGAATATCAAGTGTTGAATCTATCTGATGCTTGGTCTTGCAAAGTTCATCTTCAGTACACCTGCTTATGTGACATCTATCTCGATGTCAAGTTTGATTGAACACCCGTTTCTTGCCTATTACTCTTATACTTAACCAGAACTAGCTTAGACTCGAACACATCCATTTAAAAATGTCGTTTACTTAAAAAATAAACATTTAATTTTTATATTTAATTTAACTTAATCAAAACATTAAATTATTAGTTTTCATTTGTATATACTGTATGTACTCTAGTAGCTGACGGTGATGCCGTCAGTTGCCGCCACATATTCATTAGTGACATACGTTTTATAAATTCATCGTGTTACATATTTGTTGATATAAAGAGATAGAAATTTAAAGTGACGTCTTGTATTACTTCGAATGAAAAAATCGATAATGCAATTTTCTAACCTAAAAAAAATCGTGATTATATGTCAAACGAAATTGAACTTGCCCTTAAGAATTAATGACAAATTAGAAATTAAAAGAAGAGGCAAGAAAGAATATGACAATTTCTTTGTTTACACTATTTGAATATTTCTAATTAGTATTTTCTTTTATTTTAGAAATGAAATATGGGGAACCAACCAGCCAAAATATTTGGATTCTTTACAAAAATATAGCATATAAAATTTATAGTTATACAAATATATTTTATTAAATAAAGTTCATTTGTTTTATTTTCACTCCTGAATCGCACTGATGTATGGAATTAATTAAATTTAAATATTTGTATGATTGAAAATATGATAGAATCATAAAAAAAGGTAACTAATATAAATTTTAAATATATTGCTCAATAAGGTACTTTTAGCCCGTAACAAGCTTCTTCTTTCCAATTTTTCAATTCCACTTTTTCTTTTACTTCACCTTCTCTTGCTTTTTTTTCAACCTTTCAGGCATCCCTCTGCTTTCCCTTGAGAAATTTCGGAAGGCTCCCCCCAATCTGGCTTTAATCCTCAAATCAGTTCTTTTCCTCTTCGATAAATATTACTTGTAATTTATTCATTTAATTTTTGACTACAGACAATTCATTTTTAATAAAACCAAAAGACATTCTAACAAACAAACTTGACTACATTATATGAATGGTTGTTTTTCCATATAAGGTTAAAATTAAACCAAAGAAACGTTTTATTAATATTAGACAGGTACTTTAAATCTAGGTTAACACAATAAAAATAAATCTTTGATCACAACGATAATAACAATGTTAAAAATTTACTTTAATGAAATTACATGGTAAATTATGTAAGTCTGGATGATTTTTTTAGGAAATAACTTACTTTTACGTGTTATTTTAAATTTTAAAATATAAAAATTTAAACATTTCTTTAAAAGTTTAATGAGTAATAATAAGTCTGAACTTTGTTACCATTATAAGTACAACTCTGTTAAACTAGACTACAATAATTAAATAACGAATTTAAAAAAATATTAAATGTGCAATAAACCGTCTACTTAATATTTTCCGGTTACATTAATGACGTTATAAATTATCTGCTTTCAAGTATTGTAAATGCGTATATAATGACCCTAAGAAAAATATTTTTGTATTTTTAAATATGTCATGTTTTGCTTTACTTTAGTTTAATTGGTATATATTAATTAAACAAGTTACCTGAATTAATAATTTATAATATATGTATCGCACAACTCTTCTTTTGCTATTTATAACCTAGTATTCTTCTGCTTCGGTTAAAGGCGTGCTATGGAAGGACTGTCAGATTGTCAATGTAGTACGAGCAAAATGAATATTGGACATAAGAAACTTTTTCTATCAGTAGTTAAGTTCTTGTTCATCCATCCTGAACTAGCACGTCTTTTCAGTTCGTCTGCCTAGCCCTGTGTTTCTCAAACTTTTTTGATGACGGAACCTTTTTGAGAAGCGAAATATTTGACGGAGCCCTAAAATAATAATTAGATAGGTTTTATTTTACTTTGCAACTCCGGGGCCCAAAAAAAGGTCCTCAAGCAAAATAAGATCCTTTCTTAGTGAAATCTAAAAAAAGGTCCTCAAGCCAGATCTTCCCGAACTTTCTCATAGTGCTTCTTTAGCAGTGGCGGCTTCTGGGGGGGTTCACAGTGACAGAATATAGGTATCAGTACAGATGTATGAAAAAACTTTCAGAAAGTTTATAATGTACCTTTCTAAAACACTGACAGTTTTTTACCTATATCTGTACCGAGATCTATATTCTGCTACTGTGAACCCCCAAAATTTTGGTCACCAGCCGCCCCAGCCCAGTATTTTTTTATTATGGCTATTATTTTCGCGGAGCCCCCACAGAGGCTTTGCAGAGCTCCAGGATAATTGCTTATTACCCAATTATCTCTCTCTGTACCTCTGACCTTGGTCCAGAATTGGCTAATATCATCTACTTTCTATACTAAATGATCGAGGAAGCGCTAGCGATCGGGCCATTATGATGAAGTTCTGCACTTGTTCTAACAGATGTCGCGACAGAATTGCCTCCAATGAAACGTACATAAGGTTGTTCTACTATGTTATCTAAATACAATGGTTTAACTGAACTCTCTCAAACAACTCCATGCATCTTAAAGCCACATGCTGCACTAAATAATAATGTTTAGATAACCATAATTTTTCATTACGAGTCTGTTTATTAACTTATGATTTGTCATCCCCATACCTGCATGGTTATTTTCTATAATTTATCTTGACAATAAACATCACGTGAAGTATATACAAAAATAGTATATTACATTACGAGTGTGGAAAGTGACATTTTTCACACAAGTGATGTACAATATTTTTCCTACGACCACAAAATAATTTCATCAAAAAATGTAAAACCAGATTATTATAATAATTAAAATGTATTTAAAAAAATAACCAACAATAATCGTATTTATTAAATTTTCATAATTTCTAAACAAATAAAAAAAAAAAAAAAATCTGGCACAGCCAGGATTCGATCGCGGTCGTTGGACGCTCTCAAATTGCAAAGTTAATGCTCTAACCAACTGAGCTAACAGGCCTTACGGTAATTGATTGATCTAATCGCTTATGTGTTTAACCAGAATAAAAAGCAAATATATCTTAGTTATTTTAAAATTATTTTAATAATAATTGTTAAAGATAAATATCTAGGATCTAATTTACAATAATTTCAATAATTTAACAATCATATCGATTTTAGTATTAATATGGACATTACATAGATCAAAATAGAAATTATGTGTTTGACATTTTCTGACAGCTACTGCGGAAAGTAGCATATTCTCACTTGGGTGGAAAGTAAATTCTTATTCATACGCGTGTGATATAGGGCACTTTCCATAGGACTATATAGTGTGATATGTGTTTTTCGCAAAACATGCACTCTCCTACTTCTTCTTTTTTTTTCTTCTTCTTCTTCTTCTTTTTTCTTCTTCTTCTTCTTCTTTTTCTACTTCTTTTTCTTCTTCTTCTTCTTTTTTTTCTTCTATTTTTTCGTAATAATCTAAAACTGAAAGTAAATGTTATATTTTTCTACGATCACTATCCAAAGGAGGCTTTTGCGCTTCGATATACAACCGCAAAGATGACGGTTTCCGCAAAATGACATTAAATGACAGATTTGATGCTCGCCTAATTTAAATTAAATATAATTTAATAATTTTTTTTGTTAATAAATGATTTTCAAGTTATTTGACCGTAGTTGGATGCTTTCTGTTAACATTAACTTCGAATATCAACTCCGTTTTTCATGATTAACGTAGATATAGGCAACATATTATTATACTCTACTTACGACAAATTTTTAGTTTTTATATCTATTTCTTAAAATAATGTGATCGTAGAATAGTACATTATATACCTAGGGTGAGAAGTGAGCTATTATTTAAATAATAAGTAAATAATAGCTTTCTCAGCCGAGGTATATATAGAATTTTTTTTACTACTAACATTAATATATTAGCAATTTTAATTTTGACATAAGTAATTTCCTAACAATTTGTTAAATATTTCGAAATATCAAGCAGGTGGAGCGTGTTTCTAATCAGACTGGCTTTATTTATGTAAAAATTTGGCATGTGTCAAATTTTGATATGATTCTAGGAAATATCCCATTGCATTTTTGATATTTTAGTGACATGGATTTATTGGTATTAATTAATAATTTTTGAAGCCTATTAACGGTGTTGAATTTCCTAGTTAATATATATTTTTAGTATTAACACTGATATATATTATCATATTTGATTTGATTAGATTTTAATAAACCTAGCTTTAGTTATTTCCTACTTATTTTTCAAATATTTCAAAATATCAAGTAGTCTGGGAGTTTAGTTGTCAAATTAACCAAATGAAACTAATGTATTTAGTTTCATTATTTACCTAGGTGTTTTTTTATTATCATTATTTACCTAGGGTGAGAAATATTACTTCTCATTAGAGGAATGGAGTAAATAATGGTGATTTCTCATGTTAGTAGTAAAAAAAAATATTTTGTGTATTTTGGGCGAAAAGTTCGTTGCCGCTTTCGACAAAGTATCACTTTTCGCTCTTAATACACAAATAGCTATTGCCGTTCGTGAGATAATCAGTATAATACTACTTCGTTATTCAACTTTAAAACCACTGTGTTCAAGAATTTTCTATTTTGTTCCTAGCCTGCTACCGACGCTCTTAATATAAAATGTGTCCACTCCGATTTTTAATACGGATCACTGTGCACCAGACAGCTTTTGCTAAGTACGCGCTTTTGCGAGTACGTAATAAAGGTGGGGAAATGCACGCAGGTATCTAAGTGTGCTAGGTGTTACTTTTTTAAGTAGACATTTTCTCTGTACATGCTCACTGGTGCTTTGTACTTTCGAGTCACAGATTCAAAAACCTCGACGCAACCCGCAACGGTGAATGTGATAGCCGGAAAATCGCGACTTTAGTTTAAAACTGTGAGAATTGTTTATTGTGTCGTTAAAAGAGGCTCTAGCTTAAGGTAAGAATTGTCAATTTTCTATTAAACCGTTATTCGTATGTGTTAAAAACAAATTTTGTTACTTTGCTAAAGTCAGAGAAAATATTGTTGTTCTAACACTACAACGTATTGCATTTCATATGTGTATTTTCTGGTATTTTTTTATTTTAAACTCGTAACAGTAAATAAAATTAGGTAGATGGTGTAGATGGTTTGAATTTAAAATTAAATGATTAAGGGATGTATAATATCATCTCAGCAAAAATGTTTCTATTACTGTCTGTTTCTTACATAACGCACATTGTAAATTGCAGTTCAGAAGTTAGTTATTTTCCAAACAATCAGATTTTCGAAAGGAGTTCAGTATTCCAATATTACACTTTGATTTAATAGATACCATAATAAGATTTATGGATGAATGAGAGGTTACAGCAGTAATTAGGCATTCCAACGACCTGTCAAACAATAGGTACCAGTGGGAAATTCTTGTATATTTAAGGGGGTAGCGACATAGTCTTGCAACTTGGACGCTATTTTTATTCGAAGTAGTACTCGCCAAGCATGCCAATTTATGAAGAAATGTATAGGTGGGTTTTTTAAATATTATTTTTATTGTGTTTGACATAAAATATTTAAATGTAATCCATTATTCATGATTTTACGTAAAGTAGATAGAATACACCATATGTCGCCACCCTTAGATATACCAAACCTGCCCACTGGTAATTCATTTGTTTGGAATGCCTAATACTTTGTTTTGACTTTTCTATATCGTTCGACAAGTTTGACAGTACCCAAGCTCAATATTTTGACTTTCATTAAACCTCGCTAAGAGTTTTCCAAGTTTTATTTAGCTAACCGTTACCAACAAGTAACGCTAAAGAAATCGTCTAACTTCACACGTGTGTAAGTAACATCAAGCGTATTCCTTTTATTTTCAATCTATATTTTAGACCTTTATAAATTATTAATATTGTAGTGTGTAAATATACAATCTTTTGTTGATGACACACAACTAGGCATATTGTTTCTTTGGCCTACATGAAGTAAATATAGCTTCGCAAAATATAAATTCAGATCTAAATGCTGCATATATACAGGGTGATCCATTAGTGTGAAAAAGTCCAATATCTCCGCCATTATTATAAATATAAAAAAAATATTTTCACAGAACGGTAGATAGCCTAAAAACTACATATTTTAAAACTATTTTTGAATATACAGGGTGTTTAATAACTTCCCTCTGGAACCAACTTATATTCTTTTTAATGGATCACCCTGTATTTTATTTTATATTTAAATTGTCCTCGCTTTTCCCATTCTAAAAATATAACTTAATATTGGTTTATACAGGGTATTTTGCAGGATATAATCAGTTTTGTATGAAAATCGTATTGAATTCAATGACCTATATCATGCAAAAGAAACCATTGATAATCAATTTTTTTCTACCACTACTTTTTTCAATTCGCATCAAATCTGTACAGGGTCAAAACACAAATACATAATTTTCTCAATTTTTTTAAATGTATCCTAATTATAATCCTAATTATAAGTACTTTAATTTGACTTAAGCATTCCCTATACCAAAAGTTAATAGTTTTTAGAGATTTTTAAATTTTAGTAGTAAAAACGATAATTCAGAAACTAATTGATAGAAAATACATTCTGTTTGATAATTAGTAATTATTACAATTTAACCAGCTGTAATTTATTATCGATTTTCACATTAAGAAAGAAAAAATATCAATAGCTAGCACAAATTCATACTTTATTATTTAAATGTAATTTTTGCAAATTATATTTAATTAGAACAGTTGTTCAAAGTGGCCTCCCATAATATTTATGCAGGCCTAAAGACGGTTTTCAAAGTTCCAACTCACATTTCTAAGCATTTCCACAGTAACACTTTGAAATGCCTCTCATACTCGTATTTTCATATCATCTACTGTAGTTCGAGGTATTTTATACATTAGAGCCTTAACGTAGCCCCAGAAAAAAAAGTCCATTTTAGTTAAATCTGGTGACCGGGCTGGCCAAAGGATTGGCCCGCCTCTTCCTATCCATATTCCTGAAAATTGATCTGCAAGTTCGCCATTTACAAGAGCGTTATTGTGAGCACGAGCACCATCATGTAAATACCACATTTTTCGGCGTACTTTAAGAGGAAGATCTTCAAGCAATATTGGTAAAGAATTCATTAGAAAGTCTAAGTACAATTCCCCATTTACAGGTTCGTTAAAAAAATGAGATCCTATCACGTACTCACCGATAATGCCACCCCAAATATTTAAAGACCACCTTTCTTGACTGTGAGTAATTATATGGTATGGATTAGAAGTGGAATAATAATTAAAGTTGTGCCTATTGACACAGCCATTTTGATGAAAAGTTGCCTCATCTCCAAAAAGCAAGTACTCAAAAAAATCTCTTCGTTCAGTAATTTTTTGTTGTGACCATTCACAAAAAGTTACCCTGTGTTCAAAATCCATAATAGTGAGTTCTTGATGTAGTTGTATATGATACAGATGCATTTTATTTTTGGAAAGTATTCTTTGTACTGACGGATAATTTATTTCCTGTTCTCTTGAAATATTTCTTATACTTGTATGCGAACTTTCAGTAACTGCTAACAAAACATTTAATTCATTTTCCTCTTTAGTAACAGTTTGCCAAGATAATACACGTAACACATATAAAACTCGAAATTCCCACCAACAAATAATATTTGTTGTGCGCATGACACGTCCCAAACACCCTGCTTTTGAGAAGGACGTAAAGTTGTAACAGGGGCCCTATCCTCGGCAATCGTTTTCTAAAAAACGTGTACGCTTTAGCAACATGCGAGCTATTCGCTATTCTCGACATTCGTTTTAAAAGCGTGTACGTTTTTAAAACGGGTGTTTTACAGCGAGCGGAATTTCTCACACGTTTGTGATAAAACGTGCATGTTTTCAAGGATTTAGTTAATGTTACTTATATGTCACTTTTAGGATGATTAATAATATTGATTGATTTTAACAAATTTTACTTTTTATTAATACCTACAAAAGTATTTAATCTCTTATAAATATGGTTTGCAGTACTAAAAAAGTCTAATAGCTGAGAATTTATTTCAATTAATACAATAATTAGTACAATTAGAAAACTTGGAAGATAAGAATGCTAAAAGCAGAGATTTACCTAACTTGAAGCCACTTCAAATCCTACACTTCCTTGAGAAAATAGGATTGGAAGGGTCGTTATAGGCATTGAGACATTTCCTTAGTGCATTGGCGACAGAAGGGGGCACAATAGATCTTTTAGGTCGCAGTGTATTAACACCCCATTTTCAACATAACATAACTTAAAGATTTAGACATGCAGAGGCAGAATCCATTTTTTTAATTTAATGGATATTGAATGAATATTTTTTATATTTTACCGTGTAAGAATTTAATTATTAATTCATGTATATTTTATTTATAGATATTAATTTGCTTGCGGTTTCTTGCAAGTGGTAGTTCAAAGCTCTTCTATATCACACGTTGTGTCCAGAACTTTTAACAATTTTGTAAAATTGCCACAATATATTAAAGAACTGAATGAGATTAGCAAAGTTTTTAAGTTAATTTTATATCATAAAAACTAGGTTTTATGACGTACAATTTTTCTAGAATTATAGGTTACATTGACAGCACTCGTATAGCTGTTTTTCCAATGATTAACGATTTAGTTTATCATGAACATTGATATATTTGTGATTATAAAAAATCATCATTCGATAAATTTACAATTGGTTTGTTGTAATTAAATTACATAATCCTTATTTTTTTATGGCCTGCACATTACTTGAATTCAGCGATATAGACAGTTTACAGTTTACAGTGATGCCAGACATATTATATGCTTGTTAAAAACGTACACTTTCTAAAAAACGAATGCTCATAGAACGCCAGTCAAGAATATATATTTCAAAAACTACTCGCTTTTGAACCATTCGCTTTCGAAAACGGTTCGTTTTTTTAGCGAATGTCGAGGATAGCCGCCCCAGGACGTAATTTATGAACGGTTGCAACTAAGATTTTGAGTCGTGACGTCATTTCTTACCTAACTTTCTGAACGATTTCTGCAACGTCCAGGGCGGCTATCCTCGACAATCGCTAACAAAACGAACCGTTTTCGAAAGTGAGTGGTTGAAAAGCGAGTAGTTTTTGAAATCTATATTCTTGACTGACGTTCGATGAGTATTCGTTTTTTAAGACGTGTACGTTTTTAACAAGCAAATAATATGTCTGGCATCACTGTAAACTGTCTATATCGTTGAATTCAAATAATGTGCAGGCCATAAAAGAATAAGAATTATGTAATAATTACAACAAACCAATTGTAAATTTGTCGAACGATGATTTTTTATAATCACATAATATATATCGATGTTCAGGATAATCTGAATCGTTAATTGTTGGCGTAAAAATAGCTATACGGGTGCAGTTAATGCAACCTATAATTCTAGGAAAATCGTACGTCATAAAAACCTAGTTTTTATGGTAAAAAATTCATTTAACTAATAACTTTGCTTATCTTATTCAGTTCTTTAATATTTTGTGGCAATTTTACAAAATACAAAATTTCTGGACACAACGTGTAATACAGAAGAGCTTTGAACCGCAAGCAAATTAACATTTGTAAATAAAACATACATGAATTAATAATTAAATTCTTACACGGTCAGATATAAAAAATACTAATTCAATATCAGTTAAAATCAAAAACTGGATTCTGCCTCTGCAAGTCTGAATCTTTAAGGATTCTTATCTTCTAAGTTTTCTAATTGTACAATTATTGATAATATAATTGAACAAAATTCTCAGCTAATGGACTTCTTTAGTACTGCAAACCATATTTATAAGAAATTAGATACTTTTGTAGGTATTAATAAAAAGTAGACCTAGAATTTCTTAAAATCAATCAATAATATTAATCGTCCTAAAAGTGACATATAAGTGACATTGACTAAATCCTTGAAAACATGCACGTTT